AAGTTCACTTAATTGTTTTGGCGTTGATTTCGTGCAAATCAAAATTACGGTAAAGAAGATATGAACAAAACACGAACACTAATCAAATAAGAAAACAATAATTTAAACAAGATAAAAGAAAATCCAAAAAACAAAAAATAAAAATATTTAGCTTAATAATCGATAGAAATAACATAGAAATAACATATTGAAATTTGAAACAAATTGAAAAAACTTTTTTTCCATAATTGATTTGACGTTGAAACCGAATTTCTTCCTTCTTTACTCTTGACGGTTGCTTTGAAGAATGGGTTTACATGTAACGTACTTGAGCCAATTAGCCATATTTTCCTTTTTCTTTTTTTTATTATTAATTTGTTAGTTCATTGTATTATGGGTTTGACTCATTAGTCACTAATTCACTTTTTATTTTTAATTACTAGGATATTCGTGTGTCGGTATGAATATTGGTGTAGATTGTAAAATTATCATCAGTTTAATTTTGAAATTTAAATAAAATAAAAAATATTTAAATTTAATTATAAAAAAGATAAATTAAAAAAAGTAATTAAAGATAAATATTTAAACAAAAGACATATTTTCTTAATAAAATCATATCAATTTTTTAATTTTTAAAAGAAAGACATTAATACTATATATTTTAATTATTAATATACTATCTTAAAAATTATTGTATTTTAAATTAAAAATAATTTCAAAATAAAAATATTAGATATATAAATAAATAAAAAATAATACATTTTTCTTATATTTGAATTCATATAATATTTAAAATATATTTATTTTTATTTTCTTTAATTGTTAAAAAAAGTGTAATAATCCGTGCATTCACACGGATTTGGACATGGTTATCCGTGCATTAACTCGATATTGATGTGTTACTTGTCCGTTTACAAGAATTTTAACTTGATTATCCGTGCGTTCACACGGTACTTGTTTTTTTACATGTGCGTTCACATGGATTTTGGTATGTTTATCCGTGCGTTCACACGGATTTTGACTCGGTTAGCCGTGCGTTCACACAATAGTGGTTTGTTAGCCGTGTGTTCATGCGAATTTTGGTTTGGTTACTTATGCGTTCACACGGTACTGGTGTATTACTCATACGTTCACACGAACTTTAGTCTGGTTATCCATGTGTTCACACGGTACTGGTGTGTTCACACGTATTTTAGCCTGATTATCCCGTGCGTCCACACGATACTGGTTTGTTACCCGTGCGTCCATACGGATACATGTGTGAATTGCAGAATTGTCACTAATTTATCATAAAAATTCAAACAAATAAGAAAATATAAAAATATTATTAAAAATAAATAAAAAATAAAAAATAAAGTATAAAATAATTGTATAAATTTTTAAAAACTTCTATTGTTAAAAAAAACTATTAAACACATACAATAAAATAATAACTAATCTCAATTATAAATAAATTAATAAAAGTTCATCTGTTCCATTTAACATATATATATATATATATATATATATATATATATATATATATATATATATATATATATATATATATATATATATATATATATATATATATATATATATATATATATATATATATATATATATATATATATATATATATATATATATATATATATATATATATATATATATATATATATATATATATATATATATATATATTAGCAATTAAATTTTGTTTAACTTAATTTTTAAATTGTTATATATATAATAATAATAGCAATTAAAAATAATGAATGTGTTGGAATAACGATTAACATAAATCGTTCAAATATACTATATATCAATGCAGTATTTAACATATTTTTTTAACATATTAAAATTCAAATAAATCATACAAAACTTAAACGAAATTGAAAAAGATATTATTGATAATATTTTTAACATCTATACTGTAATATATATAAAATCTACTATATAAAATTATATTAACACTATACTGTAATATATATAAAATCTACTATATAAAATTATATTAACACTATACTGTAATATATATATATAAAACATCTATATTGTAATACATATAAAGATTCCATATAAAGTTATATTACACTGTTGATAATAATAGAAAGTCATTCCCCTAACTCAACACACAACATCACTATTAAGTTAAAGATGTTCAATGCTAAACACATAATAAGATGAATAGTTTGGCGAAATTAATGCTATGGAGCTCCAAGAGACCAACTGTTTATACCAACTCATTTATTCAAGGCATATTTTTGTAAGATATGGGCAAAATAATCCTTTGACACAAGCAGCCACAACTGAGAAAAATCGAAAGATGGTTTGCTAGCTTGGCTAGGATTCCTTTTGAGCGACTTCACCACCAGCAGATCTGCCTGCTTGGAATTGAGTTGCATACAGTCTTTGCAGCTCTTTAAGCCTTTCCAACAGTTTCAGACAAGATTGTCAAACTCACGAGTCTACTCAGACTCGTAAAGAGTCCGCAGACTTGACTCATAGTCTCGACTCATCACCACCAATATCATCACCATCACCTTCATTAGTATCTTGAGATGCTTTAAAGCTCTAGAGCAATCGCAATATCTACAACTGCAACCACCCTTGCGACCATAATTTAAAACTACACACTTACTCAAACTATTCTAGCCTTATGTCAAAATAGATTCTGAATTGAGGTGTTTTTATATCCGTATCATCAAGGCCGTCCAGTCACCCGAGCTTTCCTTACAACATTTGTACGCATGCTCCTTATAATTATCATTAATAATTAATTAATTAATTAGTAAAAATTGTAACAAGTTTTCATGTGACCAATGTATTATTTCAAAAGAGACTAAAACATTTTCTACAATAAATCATAAATCTTCTAAACCATTTTGTCACGTACAAATTGATACATGGGAATCAGATCAGTGGATTTGATTGAACAATGAGCATCACTTTTACATAAAAGAACATACAAGGAAGCATCCAAGTGAAACATACAAGAAAATACTTACACAACAAAGAATTTATTTATGATAACGAACGAGAACAAATCAAGATACAGTACAAACGTGACCACACTATCGATGAAGAGAGGAAGAAACTTTGCTGAAACAAGATACTAGGAGAGAGACTTTCTAATTCTTGTACAACTAAAAGAAGGTTTTTTTAAATAAAATAAAATATTTTAAGAAATTTGGGCCTTCTTTTGGATTGAAAAAACAAAATTAAAAAAAAAAACATCCAGACTCGTAAACTCACCATAGATTCACAAGTCTATACGAATTTGTGCGAGTCTACCAAAGTCTACTCGAGTCTATCAAAAAATGATTCTATACACGAGTCTACCCGCGAGTTTGACAACTCAAAAATATTGATCGGCTAGCCGGATCACTAATAGTAATACACAGTTGTAAGTTAATATATTAGAGCAATGAGAGAGAAATGATAAAGTATAAATATAAGAGAGTTTAAAGAAATCACACTTATGGCAACAACTCTCGATTATAGAAGCCCACAATTCAATTACAGTTACAAAATAATGAACTATAAACTAAAACTTCTTTAAACTAATACTTCTTTAACCGTTTCAATGAATCTTTTAAATGTTTTAACATCATATTTCTCTCTGGACTAAATCTTGTCATAGTTGAAGCTTTTTTTGTTAGAGTTGAGGCTCTGCCTAACATAACTTTCCAAAACATCATTGGAAAATTGACAAAATGAGCAAAAGACTATACCACAAAAACTATAAGCCAAAAATTAACATGAGCAAAAGATTGTGTTCAAATACCAAAGTAGTCAGCAGATACAGCTTTTAGGAAAAAGTCATCCAACTAATACAGTTTTACCAGGAGTTCTCTTCCTCTTCTGCCAATCCTAAAATTACTATCCATAAATTAATAATTGATGTGACTTAATATTCAATTTCAGATTTAACAGAAAATTTGTAATACATAATAAAAGTTGTTTTCTATTACCATTGCAGCAGGTCCTTGAGGTTTGTATAATAACTTTAAGTTAACTATTAACATTGAAAGATAATATTATTAACATATAATATAAAAATGAACATAACTACCAATTATTTCACTTAAATAGGTCCATGTAAGGTTTATGCACATGTGGATACTGTATGAGAATTATAATTTCAATCAAATGTTCTGTATGGCAGAGTCTCTATCTGTATGGCGTGTTGTACATTTTTCAAGCACCATTAAAATTTCTAAACTATCATTCCATTTCTTTGAGATACACATGTCGATACTTTCCGGTTTGAATATAATAATAAGAAACAAAACAGTCCAAATACAATTTTGTCAGTATTTTCATCTCAAGTCTTACAATTGTAGCTCTATCTCCAGGACTAAACAAAATAGACTCACAATTGCTGCTCTATCTCAAGGACTAATCGAAATACACAAACCTATTAAAATGGAACAAAAGTTCTATTAATTAGTGAGGAGACCCTATTCGTTTCAACAAAAGTTGAATTTCAACACAAGGTTAGATTGGGTCTGAGAATTGTATGCACTACAATTCTAAAAAATGAACCTAAGCTTATAAAAGACCAAAACTTCACCACAAGCATAACTCGTGAGAGTTTCTCCCTTTTCTTATTTGACCACCTCTTTCGATCCAATGATAGTGGAAATCTTTCCAAACACGAGAATTCTCATCGGGGTCATAACACATTGCAAACACTTTCTTATTATTGTTCTGCATAGGCATAGCCATCCAAATTGAGATATGACTTGGTCCTCACTTTTCAAAACTGATACAACATTTTATGTCATAGATAGAATCATAGTCATGCACTTTAAACTTTAATCACGTTCAAGGTTTAGTATTACATTACATTAAGCAATGCACACCAACAGATCAATTAGATACTAATACCAAACATCAATAATTCAGTGACAATATTAAATCATCAAGTTACTATGTTAAAATTATCATTGTTCTCCAATATCATGCATATTCTTCACCTTTAAGAAGTAAGTAGAAAATTTCTTATCTTTCCTTGTCGCCAATGGTATTGTGACTCACGTCTTCTTCTGGTTTGAATGATCCTTCTCGCACTGCAACAGGTTTTAATTCAAGCAACGTGTTAGCTTCTTTAAACATTTGGAATCTGATTGTAATTTTCCTCATCGCTACTTCGCTTTACTTTAATCAGATTGGTATGAATAGCAACCCCTGCTATCCTCCAAACCGGCCATCTAATACTCTAAGTAAGATGATTACTGACTGCAATATAAGTCAGACATCTTGTCTATTAGAGAAACATAAAACTCAATCATTGGCATATAATTTGATTATCACAAAAACATTAATTAAAACTCAAATAACAGCATCAGAATAAGCCATCAAATATGCACTTAATCACATGCCAACTGTCCGTTGTGATTAGTAAATAAAACTAATAAGAGATCCTGACCGGACCTTTTAATCCTCAGACCATGAAACGCAACAACAACAACCACTGTGTCATTCATGCTTTTCATCAAACACATGGAGGGCAAGCTCAGTCATGCCTTAAATCAATAAACTGAAACACGAAAGTTATAGTCAACTAAGATAGATCATTGTAATTGCAACTGCGTGCCCATAGATTATGCATAGATCATTATAACACACACATGTTGTCTTACATGTTTGAGCTCTTGCTCCAACGGTATCAACTTCAAACGACATGCTCCACTCCGCAGGACATAAGCTCTTAAAAAGGTAGGCTCTGAAAAAAAGTGGGCAAAGGAAATAAAATAAGCATCATCACAATCACTCCTTACTACAAACAACCTAATTAATAAGACAAGAAGAATTCCAAGGCAAAAAATGCCTCTTAAGTCTGCGCCCTCGACATCGAACATTTGATAAATCAAACTCAGAATATACTCTCAGATGATCCAATCTCACTTCTTATCCATGGCAACAAAGTTCAGATGACACGACAGAGACACCAAAAAAAGCAACGACGGCAAAAATAACTTACCAGTATCGCATCATTATGGGCTTAAAAGCATTTTCTGTGGACAATGGATGGGCCAGACTCATCATACCCTTTGATATCCATATATGTAAAAGAAAAACATGTTTTAGAGTTCAATCTAAATGGATGGTGATATTTTGGTATATAACCTGGCAGTCCAGGATGAACTTTATAAGCTTCTCCTTGTTGATCTAATGAACCCTATCAATCATGATCAGGCTAGATAGAACTCAACGCGAGTAGCATACCTGACATGACCAAAAAATTGGTAATACAAAGTGCAATAAACATCGGGGGTGTTTGTTCCAAGTTTAGAAATTAAGTTCCCGGAATAATTTTAAAAAAATGGTTATATTCATGTTTGTTAACCGTTTGAAGAAAAACAATTTCTTGATATAAAGGTTCCAAAGAATAAATTAATTTCCAATAAATTATATAATTTCAATGATTTTATTCTTATGTAACAACGTTGGAATTTTCATTCCCATGAAATTTCACATGATTTTTCACGTGGGAATTCTACTAATTTTCTTAAGAATATCAAATAATATGTCAAACACATTATCTTAAAAATACACGGGAATCAAACAAACTTCCTTATTTTTATTCCCGGGTAAGTTATTCCTGGGAATCTCTTTTCTTGGAAATTTCTTTCTAATCCTTGAAACAAATTGCAATAAACATAACTTCTTTTTAAAACAACAATAAACCAAAACTTGAAAAGCTTTACTCACATCGGGATCTTTCTCTGTCCGCCCATTTAGACCTCCAGATTTAACTTGTTGCTCACATAACTATCAACCAAGTAGATCCTTGTCAATAAGATCTAAACAATATTCTTCTTTGTCTACCCTTTTTCAACTCTGTTGAAGCCACAAATAGACAATAGTTCTTTTCACCAAAGAAATTTCGATCCGATTCAGTTTTCCGTGCATCTTTCACCTTCCGCGTGAGCCAACACAACCAAACCTGAAACAACAAATACTAAATCAGAAGAAATCGGAAAAAATAGATGAAACCTTAAAATCATAATCCAACTTATTCGCACACCATTCTTGTTTCAGTGTGATACAAATATACCAAAATAAGGAGAAGGGGATGGTGATAATGTTGTTACAGAATGAAGGTTGAGGAAGAGGAACAAAATAGGGACCTTCTGTGTACAGTCGATAGAGAAAGTGTTAAATTGTAATCCAATGTGTCGAAACTATGTGTCGAAAAGATTTGATTTGTTTTAGATTTAAATAGATTTGATTTAAGTCTAGAATAAATTAGATTTGATTTAGTAACAAAAAGATATTTTGGGCTTTGAGCTTAGGATGTAAGCTCAGTTATAAATAGAGAGAGTAACCCCTATTTTTTGTAAGCAAGTCAAACAAGTCATGCACAGTATTTTGCAGTTGCAAAGTGAATAATAAAGTTTTTACAGTTTGTGAGCAGAGAGAAACTCTGCAGAAATTATTTGTCTTGTCTTCTTTTCTTTGTTTGTCTCATAATTAAATTGTCATTGTGGTAGAAATTCATCATAGAATTTGGTGGATTTCCAACATCTGGTATCAAGAGCTTTGTTTCAATTCAAGGGAAGTGTCAATCAAGAACGATTGAAGAATTCACGATGACAAGTTATAGGAATGCAAATTATCCAGCAACCCTACCAATTCTGAAAGTTGACAACTATGAGAATTGGTGCAAACAGATGAAAGTCTTATTCAGGTGTCAAGGTCTTTGGGACCTTGTAAAAGATGGAGTCGAAGCGCTTGGAGAAAACGCTTCAGAAGAAGAAAAGAAGAAATACATAGAATCTGAGAAGCTGAGTTATAAAGCATTATTTATAATTCATCAATGTGTCAGCCCAGACAATTTCGAAAAGGTTAGTGATTCAGAATCTGCAAAAGAAGCTTGGGAAATCCTTGAGAAGTCTTTTGAAGACGCTGAGAAAGTGAAAGAAGTGAGGTTACAAACTCACAAAAGGACCTATGAACTGCTTCAGATGGAAGACAGTGAAAGCATATCTGATTTCTTCACTAGAGTTACAAAACTAGTAAATCAAATCAAGATATGTGGAGAAGCGTTAACAACAAGAGTTGTTGTGTCGAAGATCTTGAGATCTTTAGCTCCTAAGTTCGACCACATAGTGGTGGCGATAGAAGAGGGGAAAGACTTTTCGAAATTGACAAAGGAAGAGCTTCAAGGGACGCTTGAATCTCATGAACAAAGAATGAACGAAAGAGTTGCAGGAAAATCGAAGAGTGATGTGGCCCTGCAGGCACATTCAGCAAAAGAGACCAAAGGCAAAGGAAAGTGTTTCGACAGAGGTAGAGGTGGCTACAACAAATCGAATGGTAGAGGAAACCAGATTGAAGGAAACGTGTCGAATCAAAGAAGACCATACCAAGGCAACCAAAGAGGTGGTGTTACAAATAGAGGAAGAGGTGGTGGTCGAAAACCTGATAAGAGTCACATTCAATGTTACAATTGTCAGAAGTATGGTCACTATTCGAGTGATTGTCCAGAAAAACGAAAGAATCAAGAAAGTGATGCAAAGCTTGCAAAACATGAAGAAGAAGAAGAGATGATGATGATGGTCACAACAAGAGATGAAGATAGATTCAAGGACCAATGGTACTTGGATTCGGGATGTTCATCACATATGTCTGGAAGGAAAGACTGGTTCGTCAATATAAAACCCTCAATGAAAAATATGGTAAAATTTGCAAATGACAACACCCTAGCAGCTGAAGGTATTGGTGATGTTATGATTATGAGGAAAGATGGAAAAAGGTCAGTAATCTCTAATGTATTGTACATACAAGACATGAAGAGCAATTTGCTCAGTATAGGGCAGTTGGTCGAAAAGAATTATAAAGTGTCAATCGAAGATAAGATGATGAGAGTCGTCGATGCAAATGGGAGATTAATCTTGAAGGCTCCTATGTCTCAAAATCGAACCTTCAAGATTGAACTAAATGTGATGGAGCACAAGTGCCTTTCGACTGCAGCTAGCAGAGATGAATGGATATGGCATTATAGACTAGGCCATCTCAACTTCAGAGACATCAAAGATTTGAAGAGAAGAAATATGGTTTCAGGATTGCCAGAAATTGACATTCCAAACGAGGTATGTGAGGAATGTGTGCAGGCGAAGCAATACAAGAATAGCTTCAGCAAGGATGCAGGAAGCAGATCGAAGGCTAGTCTTGAAGTCATATACTCTGATGTATGTGGACTAATCCAGGTGGATTCGATGGGAGGTAACAAATACTTTGTTACATTCATAGATGATTTCAGTCGAAAGCTATGGACTTACCTGATCAAGAAGAAAAGTGAAGTGATCGAAGTATTTACCAAGTTTAAGTCTATGGTCGAAAGACAAAGTGGTCGAAAGCTCAAAGTTTTGAGAACTGATGGTGGTGGAGAATATGTGTCGAAAGACTTCGATAGATTATGTGAAAAGGAAGGGATTGTGCATGAGGTGGTGCCACCCTATACTCCACAACAAAATGGAATTGCAGAAAGGAAAAATCGAACCATCATGAATATGGTGAGAAGTATGTTGCAAGGCAAGAATTTATCTAAAGAGTTTTTGGGTGAAGCTGTTTCGACTGCAACATACATTTTGAACAGATGTCCGACAAAGAAGCTAGAAGGAATTACTCCAGAAGAATGTTGGTCTGGTGTGAAGCCTAACTTGAGTCATCTGAAGGTATTTGGATCTATTGCACATAGACATGTGCCAGATCAGTTGAGAAGAAAACTTGATGATAAGTCAAGTCAAATGATTCTAGTTGGATATCATTCGACAGGAGGCTACAAGTTGTTCGATCCAGTGAAAAAGCAGATTGTGATCAGCAGGGACGTGATCATAGATAAGTTTAAAGAATGAGATTGGACATAAAATATCAAGAAAGATTCAGTGGGAATCCTTCTTGAAGAGCCAGAAACTCAAGTCAAAAGAGAAGTTCGACAAGAGGAACCAGCAAATATACCAAGTACAAGCAGGCCTCAAAGAACAAGACGCATGCCTGCAAGATTGTAAGATTGTGTGATTACATCAGATGATATAATAGATAATGAAGGTGAGCTGGTACATTATGCTTTCTATGCAGATGCCGAACCCGTTAATGCAGCTGAAGCATTAAAGGATTCGAAGTGGCTGAAAGAAATGAACGAAGAAGTAAAGTCTATCGAAGACAACAACACTTGGTCACTTGTCGAATTGCCTCAAGGCAAGAAGGCAATTGATGTCAAGTGGGTATACAAAGTGAAAACGAATTCGAAAGGTGAAGTAACTCGACACAAAGCAAGACTTATGGCGAAAGGATTTCTACAGAAAGAAGGAATAGACTTCGATGAAGTTTTTGCACCTGTTGCTAGGATCGAAACAATCAGGTTGGTTGTTGGTCTAGCAAAAATAAACAGTTGGCACATATGTCAGATGGACGTGAAGTGTGCATTCCTAAATGGACCCTTAGACGAAGAAGTCTATGTTAAACAACCAGTTGGGTTTGTGAAACATGACGAAGAAAGAAAGGTGTACAGGCTACATAAAGCCCTGTATGGATTGAAACAAGCTCCAAGGGTTTGGAATAAGAAAATTGATAGTTTTCTAAGGGAGAAGGAATTTGTGAAGTGCACAACTGAACATGGAGTATATGTAAGAAGAAGCAAGAGTAAATTGCTTATACTATGTCTCTATGTAGACGATTTGTTGATAACAGGTAGCTGTAAAAGTGAGATCGAAGACTTCAAAGGTGATCTCAGCAAGGAATTCAAAATGTCTGATTTGGGTGAGATTTCGTATTTCCTTGGTATCGAATTCTACAAGAACAGTAGAGGTTTGATGATGCATCAAAGAAGATATGCAGGAGAAATTCTCAAGAG